GTGTTTCTTTCCCTACACTTTGCACGTCGAACGTGCCGAGGTAGGAAATCATTACATCATTACAAGGCACCACGAACACACAGCATTAGGATTAGGAATTAGACTTAGGTACATATCGATACTTGCTTGGAATCTGTTTCTCTCATTGGAAGGATCTCCGACCAACCTGCCATCTAGTTTGGTGTTTTAACCATTTTCTGAAGATATACTGCAATATTAGGGGAAGTGGTCAAAAAAGGGATTACTGTTACAAGCACTTGTGAGGTATGTTTCCTCGCTGACGTCTCGCTAGTGCACAGAGCTTTTAATCCTCCAGATGTATGGAAGGTCACTTGCGTAGCTGCTGGCATCACACGTCGAGCATAACCGCAGTGTAGAGTAGGTGTGTGTGTGTGTGTGCGCACAGCTGGGAATGAAAATTAAAAAAAAACAGAAGAAATGAAACACTGATATTTTTTCCTCTTTAACTAAAATGAATATTAAAACATTATATTTGTAATTGATCGCGTATTGTAACAGGTCATTTTTTAACAGAGCAGAAGGGTTCAGTGTTGCTGATATTTTGGTTGCATTGTGGGGTTTTTTTGCATCTTTGATTTTCTCTCTCCTTTTTTTTTTATTTATTTATAATTTTTTGCATATTTTTTATTTTTTTGCTGGTTTAGTTATTTGTACTGAACAGTATCACACCATCGCGCCGGCGAGTGTGTGTGTGTCTCCCGCCGTCGCCATGGTGAACGGAGAATCGTGTCATTTCCTGCCACTATCCCATCAGCCACTTTTCACTTCCTTTGGCTATAAAAGTTCACAAAACACCTCGGCCGAGCCGATCAGCCAAAAAGGTACAGGACACTGACTCTCCACTATTATTATTATTATTATTATTATTATTAATACAGTCAGGTCCAAAAGTCTGGACACATCATCTTTGTCTATTATACATCCAAAACGGTATGTTTTAAGACGTGTAGATGTGGTGACTTGGACAGCAGAGTCATTTAAGCGTTAGTCAGTCATTAGTCAGGATGTTAGTTGGCATTAAAATCTCTTATGGCTCTAGCAGAAATGACAATTATTATAGATAAGCAGAAGCTCATTGAAGCTTTAACATCGTTACGTAACGACTACTATGCAAGAAATCTTTCAAGCCTTCCAGAGAAATTAGGAGCAGAAGTGTAGCAAGGTGATTCAGCTCAGAAAACAAGACAGTGCCAACCGTACCGCACAACTAACGGGACAAACACTAAACTAAACTAGTGCTGAAGTGCTGTTTCAAAGGCAGACGAAATTTTACTTGGAAAATACTGTAGTGTTTAAAAACCAATGAAAGATGAGTTCCAGTTTAGTGCACTCGGAGTTTTGTACCTGACTGTATTATTATTATTATTATTATTATTATTTATTATTATTATTATTATTATTATCAATAATAATAATAATAATAATAATAATAATCATTCACTGCTTTCTTAAAACTTTAAGGAATGTTTAGAAATGGATCTTACATATTGTTCTACTAAAATGAAGCAAATTTCAGACATTCTTTGACGTTTTCTGAAACATGATTTTTGACGTTTCCTCTTTTATTATTTAATTCAATCTTTTAGCTGCTTTAAGCAGGATATGTTTCGTTTTGTCCATGCCGTGTCCTCACAGCCTTTTCATGGTCTTTTCTGTTATGCTTGTCCGAGTCCTTCTATTACTCCTTCCTCCGCTCTGTGTGTGTGTGTGTGTGTGTATGTGTATGTGTTCTCATGTGTCTCAGTCGTGTCTTCTGCATCTGATCCTTGGAGCAAATATTAAAGGCAAATTTGTTTTACTTCGAAACACATCCGGGCCTCATTTCAGTACTGTTTATATCGCATCCTCGTTCACTTCCCCTTGGTCCACAGTCCCCTTGCCTGCCATGTTAAGAGCTGTCGGAACCGCACTAATTCACTGTGCTGGTACACTGAAAGCCAGTTTCGAAAGCTGGCTGTTTATCAAGGCAATAAGATGATGTACAGAGAAGAAAAAAGCATCACTAAATTCATCAGTGCCATAAATCTGCAGTTATTCCCACAATACAGTCGTTCTCTTACATTACAGCAACTATAAACAATTGTTTTCATATGAGACAATTGAATGTCAAAAACTGCAGTTTGTCATGTTACTAATAAACCGTAAAGTGCACAGTGCTCTGTCCTGAAGACTTAAAGAGACAAGCTTTACCTCAAGCTGGCGAAAAACTGACGATAATTGCTTAAATGTTTACTTTGTAGTAAAATCCAATGGGATATGGTTTTAGCAGTCCTCCAGGTTTTTGAAATGAACACGAAATCAAGGAAATTCTGCAATGTTCACAGGAGCTTGCAATTTTTCAAAATTATTGCAGATTTTCCATAGATTTGAGACAAGACATCATGTGATGTCATCACGACTCACCATGTGATGTCATCACAGCGCGCATTGTCAGAGCCATCTTTGATACACGTGCGTCGAACATGAGTATCACTGAAAAGTCTCATTTACAAATAAACATCACTGAGAAAGACCATGCAAAACAATTTCGTGCAATAGCAATTTCGCCAATTCAGGTAGTTTTCCGCAAAGAAAAATCTCCGCAAATTGCATCGCAAATTTGGAAAAATGCCACCGCAAAATCAATCGCTTTTGTCCGCATCAGTCACAACAAAAACTTCACAAAATCCTATACGGACTGAATTAGCCACACTTCCCACATTTTGACCATTTTTATCCCTCCGCCACTAGATGGTCCATCCAACCGTCCATGTGTGTGTCCAAAATTATTGTTAGCACAATATCTCAAGAACGAGTTGTTGAATGGTTGAAGGATTTATAAGGAGTTATCATTGTGATAGATTTTGGAATTGATCCAAAAATGGTCAAGGTCTCAGCAAGATCAAATGTCTGAAATAGGTTTTCTTCAGCTTCCTTCCTGTTTGAAGTACATTTGAGGCATGCGATTAAGTGACAAGAAGGACTAGACTTGCTGGCGGTGGAGTTATCCCGTCGAGCTCTACTTGTTTGATACAGCCTTCACATTTTTTCCAGTGTTGATCTTGACTTTGAGTGTTGCTGTATGCCACTGTGCATTTAAACCAGTATGCCCAATACATAGGTAGAACGCATCCTAATTGAGCCTAAAATCAAATGCTGAAAGCAAACTGCATCTGGCCCTGAATGTGTAAGTCTGTGTGAACTGTGTTGTTCTTGTTGGATGGTCAGTTATGGTCTTATTAGATTGAAGATTTTCCTTGCGTTGTTAAGGGGAAGTTGACGTGGGCAGAATGACAAACAGTATTTAAATGCTGGACCTACCTTTTGCATCTTGATTGACTAGAATAAACTAATTATACCCTCAGGAAGGCAGTTGGTTTCTAGTCATACTGACTATTGATTATCATGATCAACATGGTAGCAAAGACACAACACACATCAGATTAACATCACACAACTACACTAGAAATATACACAGCATAAATATATCATGGTGACAAATTAAAGGAAAAAAAAAAAAAGCAGTGGCTCTGTTATGCCCTGCTGTTTTGCCAGCATGGCTTGGGTCCACGTGCTCCCTTGAGTCCACTTATCAACTTTATCCTATAATAGAACATTCTCTCCTAATGGGACGCGTCTCTTCCAGACTGATCCCGCCTCCATTCGTGAGGGCTCACGGAATGGTTTGTTGAGGATGATGTAAACGATGTCAATCATACCGTACGCGCATCAAAAATCAATTATGGGAATATCTTTTAGAAGAATGGTGTTTAATCCTCCATTACAATCCCAGAGACTTATGTCTCTGGACTTACTGAAGCTGTTCTGGAGGATTGTGGTGGCCCAACATCTTACTAAGACACTTTATGTTGGTTTTTCCTTTAATGTGTCAGCCATCTGTTGTAAGGTAATTAATTAGTAGTAAAAAAAAAAATAGTGTCCAGACTTATAGCATCATAATGTTGAACTTGTTCCTTTGCTCATTTCGGATCCTTCTTTTGAGTGGTAGAAAATGTGTACATTTCTAGACTAATTTCTGTGATGTCACACCAACGACATTATGACACTGACATGAGATTCTTTCCTTTTAATCAGGAAATGGTTTGCTTTATCTTCAAACAGACTGGCCCTGTTCAGACTTGGTAGTAACACCAAGCCCAGGAGATCCAATCCCAAGTCAAGAGCTGAGATGAATAGCCGTACTCACCTCATATTTTCATGTGTCCTGAATACGTCTTTAGTGACCACTTGTGATCACATTTTTCTACTTGAAAGAGTTGCCAGATTTGCCAAAAAGAAACCCAATATCACTTCCAAATCAACCCCAAAAGTTGTTAATTGCTAAAACTTGAATGGATTGTAGCTTATATTTAGAACTTAAATGGCATTTCCTAGTTAACCACGGGATTCTTAGTTAATAAAAGCTTTACACACAGTATCAGGGTCAGACCTCATGGTATTTTACTAAGTAAAAACTGGGAAAGAGAACTGTGCATTGAGAATGTAATGATAAAAAATACAAAGCAAGCTCTAGTGAACTTCATGACAGTGCAGAAGACCTTCTTAAAGCCAATTCAGTAGCATGGAGACAGCACTATATAAAGTGACGAGTGTAAAATAGACAATAAATACACAGGACAATGTGGAAACAGTAATATATTAGATTTTCCCCATCTGTTCAGGAATGGAATGTGCCAAATTTTGATAGGTATATGAGGTTCTTCTGAACAGATGCCTTCTTGACTTCTTAATCCATAACAAGGACCTCTGATTTGGCCTTACCTTTCATTATCTTTGTACCGCTTATCCTACATGGGGGCCCTTGGAGCCTGGAGCTTATCCCAGGGAACAAGGCAGGGGACACCCTAGAGGGGGTGCCAATCCATCATGGGGCATAATCGAACACACAATCATAATTTGGAAATTCCAAATCAGCCTACAATTTACAGCACATGTCTTTGGTCTGGGGGAGGACACCCCTAAAGCCTGCGGTCCTGAAATTAAAGAGGTGGGAATCGAACCCCCAACCACAGAGCTGTGAATCAAACGTGCTAACCACTAAGCCACTGTTCCCCCAGGAAAGGAAGTAAGAAAAGAAAAGGAGAAGGTGCAGTTAAAGAACTGAGAAGACCTCCACCCCTGTTCAGGAGTAGTGTGTTCAATCTTAAGACAGACGCATAGATACAGTGTATAGATACTTGCAATCTCTCCCTCTGTACAGGAATGGTTTGTTTCACTTTGATATATGATATCATAAAAAACCATGACATCAGTTGAAGTGACATCAGAAAACCAGGTTTAAACAGTGCTGAATGTCCTGCCATTCAACTGATGAAGAACCTCAGATGAGCAGAGAAACATCTTCAGCATTATAATACAAGTCCAGTCACCTGGACACACTAATACTCACATTAAGCTTTCTGTTACCCTTTTATCTCTACTAACAAGCTAATGAAAGCTATAAAGTCTTATTTTCCAGGTAATTACAGTTGGGTCTGACAGTCTGAGTTACACTACTGAGAGATGTTTACTTCTTAAGCTATAAAAACGCAAATTCTCCATTCTTCGTAGGTGATCTTCATTATATTCAGAAGGGATTGTAGATTTTTCAAAGGTTCCTGGCATCAGCACATGCCTGAGCACTTATTCAAGTGGTAACACACAGTGTTAAGACTTTCGAATACTTCATGTGGAGATGGCGTCTGCAAAGGTTGCACAAACATTTGGAACCATACAAACACCAGCTGTGGCATACAACTGCTCCAGTAATGCAGGGGGCGCTATTAAAATTTCAGGACAATTCCCATAACTACAGGAAGAAGCTTGCCACTTCTCCAAGTTGGAATGAAACAGCTTGGGCATGGCTTGTTCGTAACAACCTATCACAGGTTTTGTTGCGTAGCACGTGCACGCTCAGATTTAAGCCATCTACCATGTGTATGACACATGCATTTACTCCACAATTTCATATTTTAATATGTAATTACATAAAAGTCATATTGTTTGTAGAATCCAGCTGAAAAGCGTCTCCACACGAAGTATGCCTTTAATGGGAACACACAATGCTGGATATTAATAAAGTGTGATATGCGCTCAGACATTTGGATCCTCTGTTTTGTTATATAATGCTGTTTATATATATATGTATATATGTATATATATATATATATATATATATATATATATATATATATATATATATAAATTTTCATTATTATAATTCCCTAAGGACCTTGTGATGCACTGCAGTTGTTCTTGTTTCTAACCTGTCCACATATATAATTATATCATTGTATATATTATATATGTATTAATTTTTGTGTGTATGTGTTTGTACCTTGTGGCATTTATATATGTGTATATACAGATATATATGTTATTGATATATTTATGTACTAATGTATATAAATGTGCACTTTGTGTATGTAAGTGCAGGTGTGTGAAAGAGAGAGACACAGAGAGAGAGCGAGAGAGAGAGAAAGAGAAGCCAGCTTTGAAAAAAAAAAACCCAAAAACATACAGTGCATAAAATACAGGTGCAAAACCTGAAGTTCAAATGAATTCAGCGTTACTGTCCTCGGCAACACTACGGGAGTGTATCACGGTGGCGCGTTTGTAACGCTGCTCTCTATGTTGAAGGTTCTCGGGGTTCAGATTCCTCCGGAGGGCCACAGGGGGGCAGCACTGAGGAAATCTGGGTCCTGCGCAAACCTGCAGCAGGTAACAGCAGGGCCTTCATACTCGCTCCTCTTCCTCCTCTCCTTCTAATGCTCCGTTTGCTCATCCCTCGCTCGCCCTGCTTGACCTCAGATGCTCCTCTGTGTTCCTGGAGCCTTCCCATCCATCACGCACTAGGCATGTGCCGATATAATCGGTTTTCTCTGATGTACTCCGATATCCAACACGGACGGCATTGTTAACAAGGATGCTGTGTCGATAAACCGTCAACAGCTAGCGTGTTTTATCACCAAGGTTGGCTAGCTCTGTCGTTTAGTTCACGTTCCAAGTTCAAACATGTTTTATTGATATGATACACAATGTTCCAATCCGAGAATGTAATATCGGTACATGCCTACTGCACACACAGATGTGTAGAAGAAAGTCAGAAAGGGTTTTCAGGTATGAGAGAGTATGGACCTGCTGCGTCTCTGAAGGTTTTCACTCATCCAGGGCATGCTCATTGTAGACGTATACCAACTCATTTGCATTTAAGATTTTATTCTGACTATGGTGCAGGAGTATCGCAGACATTTCAACAGCTGGTACGTAATTACAAACTGAACTGATGAGGTTTATGTCAGTTTCGCTACTGGATGTAACTATCCAACAACTTGATCAAAGCCTGACATTCACTGTGAGAGAAAGGAGTTTTTTAGAGAGTAAATAGGTAGGCAAGGTTAAATGACAAAGTAAAGTATTTCTGTGTCACTCTGATGAAATATGACTTCTTTAAGTTGAGGTGTCAAAGTGTGTTATAAAATGTCAGAAAACCCCAGTTTTGGCCAGAACATAATTCTTTCATCTTTTGTGGTTGTGTGCCATGAAATTCAGCCCCAGTGACATTTGATGGTTTTTCCAGACCACCAGACATTTCCACTGGGACAAGATATTGAGTCTTGATAATGCCAGTTTCTTATATAAAATTTATACGCCAGTTGCGTAGATAATAAAAAGTGCAAATGTTGACTCAGGACACATTTTTCAATTGACTTTTGTAGCGCTTTGAACAGCAGTATGTATTTTGTTCAACAAGGGTGGTGATATGTTATGGCAAAGTTCAGCCTACAGTATATGGTGAGAGTAAACCTGGCATCTTTCAGTCGGAATACAGACACATGGTATTTGCGCAGAGTTGCATGACAGTCATACAGTGGATTTGGAAAGTATTCAGATCCCTTCACTTTTTGCACATTTATTGTATTTTTAAAAATTGTATCAAAAACCCAGCCATGAAATCCAAGAAAGTCTGTAGACCTCTGCGATCAAATAGTGTCAAGACATAGAGCTGGGCAAGGGTATAAAACCATTTCTACAAAGTTAAATGTTAGCAGGAGCACAGTGGGCTGTGGATCGCCAAACATAACCGCACTAAAGAGCCTTGGTGACCAAGAGCCCATTGGCCAATCTAAAGACATTGGAAAATCTGCCAGAAGGACAACCATCTGAGAATTCCCCTCTCTATCATGAAGCTTGGTGTTGGAAGCATTATGCTGTGGGGGTGCTTCTCAGTACAGGGCCAGGGAGGCTGGTCAGAATCGAGGGAAGTAATGCAGCCAAATACAGAGAGGTCCTTAAAGAAAACCTGCTCGAGAGTGCACACGACATCCGACTGTGGCAAAGCTACACCTTTCCATATAATCACGACCCGAAGTATACAGCCAACACAATGCTGGAGTGGCTTTGGGACAAGTCTTTGAATGTCCTCGAGTGGCCCAGCCAAAGCCCAGAACCCCTTAGATCATCAGTGGAGATACCTGTAGATGGCAGTTCACAGGTGCTCCCCATCCAACCTGACTGAGCTTGAGAGGATCTACCAGGAAGAATGGGAGAAACTGTCCAAATCCCTCAAAGCTGTAATTGCTGCCAAATCTGGTTAACAAAGTACTTAATAAAGGGTGCATATATCTATCTAAATGAAAGATTTCAGTTTTTGATTTTTAATACATTAACATATATATATATATATAATATGAAAAGATTTTTGCTTTGCCGTTATGGGTTACTGTGTGTAGATGAATGGCCACAAAATACAATTTAATCCACGTTATATTAAATCTACAACAATAAAGTGTGCAAAAATAGAAGGCGTCTGACTACTTTCCGAAGCAACTGTTTTTTTTTCATCATCCATCATCGATCAACCATCATCGACATTAACAGAAAACACTACACTGGCTCGGAGTGCAGATTTTCTGTATTTCTGCTGAGCCAGAATGAAAGCGTGGATATAAATCAGAAAATCATACTGATCATATTTCCTTTTCTGGCAAGATGTCCCTTTAGTCAGACTGAACAGGAGTGTTACCATAGTAGATGTTTATAGTGGACAATTAGGACAGAGTGGGCTGTGGTGGTTTTTGTCAGCTGGTTGCTGTCCTCTTAGTCGAACAGAATTTCCCTAGAGTCCCACCAGGGTTAGGTTTAAAACATAAAAAAAAAAATATATATATATATATATATATATATATATATATATATATATATATATATATATATATATATATATATATTACTTATTTTTTGTTTTAAATATCACACACAGGTATGTGTATAAGGTTAATTCAGATAGCTGGCTCTCAGTGTGTGTGTGTGTGTGTGTGTGTGTGTGTGTGTGTGTGTGTGTGTGTGTGTGTGTAAGATAAATCTCATGAAATCTATTCTCCTTTCCACAGTTTATCACCACCTTACATCTTACCTTATCGTGCATGTGTGTGTCTGAGTGTCTGTACTCACTTTGTACCAGCAGTGCATCAACCGTCTGTTCGTTCTGGATTTTCAACACCAGTCTGTACTGACTGTGTGTGTGTGTGTGTGTTTGTGTGTGTGTTTGTGTGTACCTTTGTGTGTTTGTGCTAGGTGGGGACCGCAGCAGTGTGAGCAGTTCGAGCAGCGCTCGCTCGTCAGGAAGCGGACAGAGCAACACACACATCCTTCATGCTCACGCAGAGGGAGTAAAGGTGAGGCTGACAGGCAGGTGGATGGAGCAATCAGCACCTATTCTAAAACCTTTTCTAAGACTGTATATGTGCAGAGGTTTGCCTCAGTGTCACATAATCCTTATTGGCTTCCAAATTATCCAGTTAGCTGATGAATAAATAAAGCATGTGATATTGATGAGTAACATTGCTCTGTGTGTGTGTGTGTGTGTTCTTGCTTCAGCTTCTTGCCACAGTTCTCTCTCAGTCAGCGAAGGCTAAAGAGCATCTGTTGGAACAGTCCAGATCTGTGGATTCACCCATAACTACAAATAAAGGTTAATAGACCTATAGATCAATAAGATAGATGTATAGATTGACAGACAGACAGGTAGATGTATAGATTGGCAGACAGACCTAGAGACAGAGAGACAGCCA